GACCATTGTAGTGAGTGGGGACTGAATGATGGGGCCGGCACGGGAGCCAAGTGGGTGGGTAACCACTGACCAGGACCGAAAGGTCATCCAGCTTGAAGATGTCATCGGGGACTCCGGAATTCTTCAGGCTGTTGGCTCGAGCCACGATGGCCTGGGGATAAACCACAAGAGTCGGTGACTCCCAGCTTCCACCCCCAGGAAGGAACAGAGAGATCAGGGAGGGACACTTCCTCAGGAAGACCACCGGAGGCCAGGCCAGAGTGCTCTCCTCCCCTGGCCTTTGCTCATAGTCCCTCCACCTGGCAAGCTCTTGCTATCCTCCCTATGAGCTCCTATTCCCATCTCAAAGCCCAGCTCAAATGTGCCCCAGAGCCCAGCAGAGGGTCCTCAGGGAACCTTTTCTGATCGAACAATCCCTATTCTTCCCAATTCCAGAGGGCAAGATAGGGGTGCACCTCTGAGTGAGGGTTTCTACACAGAGGGAGAAAGTTGAGCCAAAGAGAAATCAGAGTGTGGACCAAGCACAAGTCTGTTCTCTCTCCCTGTCGGGCTGAAACCTTCTCACGCTACAGATGTGCAGAGAGTACATGCAGGATGGCTGAGGGGAGAGAAGACAGGCCAGGGGGCAGTGCCATGATTGCAAGTGACAACAAGATTAACGGTAGCCGCCGCTGTTGACACTCTTTCAGCCCTAACGCCTGTGTGGTGCCATGCTGCTCCCTCACAGAGGACACCGCTGAACCCTCCCCAGAAAGGGAAAGGACTTGTCCAAGGTCACATAGGCGGGAAGGGGTAGAGCTCAGATTTGAACTTGGGCAGCCCGAGTCCAGAAGCTGTGCCCTTAACATCTCAGGGCTCCAACCTTGGATGGGAATGACCCTTGCTGTGGCCTGAAGGGTCTGGGACAGGGGCCTGTTGTTTTGGGACGTCAGAGGCTCCATGGAGGGCAGCGGTAAGCAGACCACCTTGACTGCGTCCCCCACCAGCCAAACCCCACCATACCCCAGCGCTACCACTGCCTGGCCATGTGACCTCAGGCAAGTGACCTGCCTCTGTGGCCAAGTGTCCTCATCTGTGAACTTAGTGGAGGCCAGGATTATATGAAAAAACCCTCATGGAATAGTTGGCACACTGCTCAGCTGATGTCAGCTGTTATTATTGTAGTTGTTGTCCAAAATGGGTGGGATTTTGGATTTTTAACCGTTTTCCCCATGGGTGACTTAACATAGGGCATCACTGTTATCCTCTCCCCTTAGGAGCAGACCCCTGAGCCTCACACACTGATGGCAGGGGTGCTGGTCCAGCCTGGGGTCTGGCCCTGCCCTCATGCCCCTGGCTGGGCTCCAGCCCCCACTCCCGAGCTCAGCGAGCACTCACCCGCAGTGACGGCAGGCTGGACAGCTCCCCATGAAGCGTGGTCAGGTTGTTGTGACTCACGGATAAGTGCTCCTGGGCCAGGACAGGGGAGCGGAGGCTCAGCAGGGCGGGTAGGGTGTCTACAGAGTCCCACCACAACCTTCACCACCCAGGGCCCTCAGCCACACAGGCCCAGTCCACCTCTGCAGCCTCCCTCCCTCACAGACCGTCTCCACTCGCACATCCCCAGGGACAGGGTACCACTTCCCCTCTGCCAGCTCTGCTCGTGGCCGTCAACGTCTTCCTCTATGTCGTCAGCCTTCTGCACAGGCTCTGCCCCCTGGCCCAGCCCCACACACAGGGACTCTCCCTGCCCACCCAAAGCCCCTTACCAGCTTCTGAAGGGCAGCCAGCTCCTCCGGCAGGTAGCAGAGGCCGGTGCGGTTCAGCTTCAGCCATCGCAGACTGGTCATGGCCTTGACGTTCTCAGGGAAGTAGCCACCCTGGGAGGTGTGTCACGGTGAGGCTGGTCTGGGAGAGGGGCAGCCCTGCTCTACCACCCTCTGCGGCCCCCACTGCCCATGGGAGCCTTTACGAAGCAACAGAGCCACCTCACACCAGCTGTGTGACCCTGGACAACTCTGTGCCTCAGTTTCCTCACCATAAAATAGGGCTAATAAAAGCCCCCTCAGGACTAAAGCGTTGTGAGGACCAACGAATTATCGGGATGGCTGGCGGCCAAAGATCTGTCTCTGCGGCTGGATTCTGAGCCTCAGGAGGCCAGGACGGAGCTGGCTTGTTGCAGGTGACATCCCCACACCCAGCTATGTGCTTACCTCAGCTCAAACGCCTTCGCCTGGCATTCCCGGCCCTGCCTGGGCTGCCTGGGGTGAGGGTACCCCCTGAGGCCCTACCAAGGCCCTACCTGCACCACCACCACCACCCTCCCCCCGCCATCAGCACACAAGCCATCTGTAGTCAGGTCCAGACCCCCCTGTGCCCCAGCCTGCACGGGTCCGCCTCGATCATTCGTTCACTCGTTATTCAATTCCTCACACCCAAATGCCCACCTCAGTATCCCAGCCCTAAAGGCAGGGAGCCGCGGGCAGCACGTGCCTTCAGTGCCCTTGGCTGGTGTCCCCTTCCCCCTATGGCCACATTCCTGGCTGATAACTCAGACTCTCCCAGTCTAGAAAGGCCACATGGAGACCCCAGGCGACAGTGGCAGGAACTGGGGCCCAGGAAAGCGGTGTGGCCACCTGTGCATGGGGTCAAAGGTGTGTGCACATGTGGGTAAATGCAGGAAGGACCTGCCTGCTTCCCTGGCCCTGGCCAGACCTCTGACCCCAGCCAAAGCCTAGGTCCCCTGACCCTGCAGACCCAGGCTGACACTACAATGACCCCAGCCAGAGTCTGCCCAGCCACCCATGCTGCAGCCCCAGCCGACCCTCCCAGGACCAGGCCAGCTCTCACCTCCACTCCTACCCTGCCTCCTCCCTGGTCACCAGCACTGCCCACCTCGTTCCTGGCTCTCTACAACTGCCCACCCACTCGCTGGAAGGCTGGGCTCCGGTTCCTGTGGCGCTGGTCTGTGAGTTCACAGCTGCTCAGACAACTGCCACCCAGGGCCTCAAACACCTGCCCGACACACTCTCCATAGCAACTAATCCAGGCTGCCAAGAGGACGACTTTAAAGCCCCTTCACCGGATGAGAAAACTGAGGCTCGAGAGGGGAAGTGACTTGCTCAAGACCACACAGGATGGAGGTGGCGGCGGCGGGGACAGGGCAGAGATGAGTCGGCTCCAGACCCGCCCTGGGGACAGCCAGGGGCACGGCTGTGAGTCAGAGCCTGGTCTGGGCGTGTGACCTCAGAGGGGTGGGGAAGGAGAGCCAGGGAGGAGGACAGGCTCGCGACCCCCGAGTCGCTCTCTGGCCCAGGCGGGGCCCACACCCCAGGAAGGGACACGAGGTGGGGGCCCGGCCCACCCCCTAGCGTGACCCCGAGCCCAGGCGTCCGCGCCGGCCCCGCCCGGCCGCGGTCTTCCCGAGCGGCACTGGCGGGGGCCTCGGAGGCCCGTTC